TGTGAATTTAAATCTGCTTTGACCCCTGAGAAGCGATAACCAAGGGGAAAATTGAAGAAATAAAGCCAAAGAAGAATATTTTTCTTTGCTTTTTTCACAATTTTATTGATCTGTGTGTAATGTATCTTTCATAAATGAAAAAAAAAACTGTCATATATTGATGCACTGTATATACCGTATATATCCCATGCACCTTTTTTTCATTTGGCACTTTCTTCTTCTCGTTTGACAAATTTGAGCTGATGTAACGAGTAAATTTCTCCACTGTAAGATCAATAAATTCAATCCAAGGGCGTAGGTTTGATTTGAACTTTGGTAGGGACACTATTGGTCTGGTGTCATTGGTGCCATGCAATATGCATGTCCTTTTTTATGTTCGATGTGAGCATCCGTACTGATAAGAGGAATTCATTGTTAAAAGAGAAAAGCATCATTTTGCTACGTTAATAAAAATTGTATAAGCACTACGGTACACTCATTAGATGCTGTTTATCAATGTTTGAAGTATCACCGGCTCTGATGAATGTGGAATTAGGACTGTTTTCCACTTTGAAAACGGTTTGATTTGAACGACTAAGAGAGAAGGTAAATACAGTATTTTCTTTTGAAGATATAGAATAGTGCAGAGTTAAACCCCACTCAAATATTTGTACCTACTATTCTCTCTCTGTATCAAGCAAAAATAATACATTCATTAAAATATTAACTTCACTATAAAAGTTGAACATCTGGGCTGTAGTTACTCTGTGTCGCCCATTTCAAGTATTTCATCTGGGGCTGAAAAAAATGAACCATATTAATTGATTATTTCAATAATCGTCAACTAATTTAGTATGTAATTCATCATTAACTGGGGTATAGAGACTTTAAATCATACAGTAATATAAATGTAAAATGTGCCTTTCCACAGAGCAACTCACTTAGATCAGTTATTATATCAAAATTGTAAAAATAAAAACAAAAAAAATGAAAACAGTAATATCAACTAAATATCGGTAAAAAGGAAACCTTCACATTGTCTTTTTTAGTTGGCTGTGGCTAAGAATCAGAAATGTTGATGGCTTACAGCCTTTATTTGCCCATTTTTCCAGCAGTCTTCAGAACTCCTGGCTGACTCAGAATATTTCGTTTAGTAAAAGAAAAAAAAAAGGTTTTTGTTTTTTAGTGTACATGATATTCATTTTTTTTATTGGGACTAATTTTGTAGCCTAATATTAATTGTAGCAACCGCTGCATTCTAGTGTGAATACATTTTCAATGTTGTGCTCCAAGCACACGCGGACTAGAAAACAGCCAATCAGAGAGAGAGAAGGCGGAACTTAAGGCAGAACAACCAATGAGAGTGGAGTTAAACAGCGCAGCAGTTCCATGGGCTGCTACATGAAAGGGACAGGAGAGACCAGGCAGAGGAGCTGCGAGAGGAAAAGAAGCCACTGCTGCAACAACTACTGCTGGAAATTATAAACATGTTGCTCACATCCAATTATTGGTCGGGACAATTAGGTCGGTTCAAAATTTTGGTAAGGACATGTCCCTATGGTCACTATGCAAACCTACGCCCATGGTTCAATCAATCAATAAATAGTAGATCAGGAAGTATTTGCTTTACCATGGAAACCTTGTATGTCTAAAAACATTCCTTTATTGCACATTTTGTTAGCTTGTCTGTCTGCTATATTAACCAATATGACGTGTTAAACTAGATCTGCTATTTTTGCAATTTTTGAGAGACACTTTTTTATAAAGTATAGTGCATTCAGTCATAAAAAAAAGTTTATTTGAACCCAGTGTTCAATGTCAGGCAGAGAGTGGGATAGAAAACATTTATGTAAAACTGGAGAATGTTATGTTGGGTTTACAGGTTCCTAACCCAAGTGCAGAACACGCTCTGAGACAAGGAAAAATTCAACAGTTTATTGAACAGACACAATTATAAGTGTTCAGATCCAGGGGGTTATCAGATCCAGGATTGGTCAGGACTGGATTACTGATCTGAGACGTGATTCAGGCTAGCAGCAGAGGAGGGGAACCGGGTTGGGTCCAGAGGCTTGAAGTTGGAAGAGGGCTAAGCAACGGCAGGGCTTGACTTCAGACTTGTTAGTGTTCAGACCTTGAGTTTCTCCAAGTTCTCTTCTTGAGAGCTGGCAGGCAGGTTCAGACAGTTTGATCTCCAGGTTTGCTTCTGAGAGCAGGCAGGCAGGTTTCTGCTGAGAAGCTCTTCCAGAGCTCCAGGTTTCAGTCAGGGTTCTTTCTAGGAGGCAGAGAGGACAAAAACACTGATTAGGTTTAAAGTCAGGTTTTCAGGGGAGTCAGAGAATCAGACAGGCTGGTTGGCTCAGGCTTCGCTAACCATAACTGGCTTAACACGCTGGCGCTGAAGAGTAGTCCTGCCGCTGCTTAAATGCTGGTCTCCTGATGAGCAAATCAGCCGCAGGTGTGATAGTCAGCTTCAGCTCCAGGAGACCTAGGGCGCCCTCTGCTGGAGAAAGGTGGACAGATCTCCAGATCCCAACAGTGAATCTGAGTAGCAGTGGCTACAGCGTCTGAGGCTGGAAACTCTGCAGGAGAGAAACACAGGTTAGTGACCACATAAATCTAAGGGAGGAAGATTGTGAACGTGAGCCACTAACCTGGTTTACAAGTTCAGTCCATGCCCAGAGAATGTGGTTGGATTCAGCTGTTGAGCTGCCATTAAGATAGGCGATTTAAGAGAAGAGTTGGAGCAGCTGGTGGTGCAAAGATAACAGCCTGATCCTGAACGTGGTGAACAGGAAGGAGGTCATCTTGGACTTCAGGAAGAAACGTTCTAACCACGCTCCACTGGCCCTCAACAGATCAGCTGTAGAGGTGGTCAGCAGCACCAAATTCCAGGGGGTGCACATCACAGACACCCTCACCTGGACTGGAAACAGCACCTCACTGGTCTAAAGGGCACAGAAGCATTGGACTTCTTGCAGGGGATGAGGAGAGCCCACCTGCCCCCACCCATCCTCCCCACCTTCTCCAGAAGCACCATAGAGAGCGTTCTGAGCAGCTGTCTCACTGTGTGGTGTGGAGGCTGCAGAGCCTCAGACTGGAAGAAGGTGAGAACAGCAGAGAGGATCATGGGGGCTCCTCTTCCCTCCAATAAAGACATTAAATCCCAGCGCTGTGTGTCCCGAGCCCGTGACATCATCAATGACCCCTCCCACCCCCACCATGGACTGTTCTCCAGAGATGGCAAAAGTACTCACTTTCCGTACTTGAGTAAAAGTGGAAGTACTGATTAAACTTCTTTACTCAATTAAAAGTAACAAAGTACAGGCTTGTAAATTTACTTAAAGTATAAAAGTAAAAGTAGAAACCACTTTTTTCATGCCGTTTCCTACATTTTAAATGGATGTCTGCCAATAGGACTAGATCTCCGTTGTGTTCATTTTCAATCATCTCGTCGTCCATGCTACTATGCTAACGCCACCGCCACCAAGCTGCAATGATTTGCCGCCAATGAATACCGCCGAATCTGTCGATTCATCTTGTAGCGGTGCGTCAAATGCAAAGTAGATTCCCATCCAATTAGATTGAATTTGGTATTGATGACGTGAAAAATAATAACGGTAACTCCATTGAAATGATTCAAAACTAAAGTAACGAGACAATTTTTTTAAAATGTAAGGAGTAGAAAGTACAGATATTTGTGTAAAAATGTAAGTAGTAAAAAGTCGCCATAAAAATAAGTAGTAAAGTAAAGTAAAAATATCAGAAAAATCTACTTGAGTACAGTAACAAAGTATTTGTGCTTCGTGTTGGGATCTGGAGGTCTGTCCACCTTTCTCCAGCAGAGGGCGTTCTTGGTCTCCTGGAGCCGGAGCTGACTTCTACACCTGCGGCTCGTTAACTCATCAGGAGACCAGCATATAAGCAGTGGCAGCGCTACACTCCAGTGCCAGAGTGTTAAGCCAGTTACGGTTAGCAAGCCTGAGCCAACCAACCTGTCTGATTCTCTGACTCCCTTGATACCTGAAACTGAACCTAACCAGTTTTTGTACTCTCTGCTTCCTAGGAAGATCTGAACTGAACCCTGAAACTCTGGAAGAGTTTCTTTTCTGTGTTACCTGTCTGATCTCAAGAGATCCTTGGATGATCGAGCTGTCTGAACCTGCCTGCCCGCTCTCAAGAAGAGAACTGGAGATAACCTCTCATCTGAGCACCGAGAAGTCTGAAGTCAAGCCCTGCCGCTGCCGAGCCCTCTGCTCACCATCTGCCTCTGGACCCTCCTGGTTCCCTCCCTCTACCGCTCAGTCAACCACTGAACAGGTACAGACCTGCATTATCCTTCAAACTACCAAGCCTGAAACCCAGCTAACTGAACTGTCCCTCTCTGCAGAGAACCCTACCATGACCAGTCCTGGACCAGTCCCCAGACCAGTCTTTATTAATCATTGTGTTTTCAAATAAACAGTTGAACTTTTCCTCCGTGTCTGACTGTGTTCTGCATGTGGGTTAGGTCCCTAAATCCCAACATGACACTTCGTTACTTCCCATCTCTGCTGTTCTCCCTGCAGCTAGACTTGCTTTCTTCCTCACTGCCATTAGACTGCTGAATGTTTTGTTAAAAAGGATTATTGTATTGTATTTTATTATAAGTATTATATTGTATCATAATATTAAAGAAAAAACCAAAACAAAAAATAAAAAAACATTCGAACTGTAAATTTACAGTCATATGTTTATATTACTGTTTTTATATATTTAGCCTATTTTACTACTTTTCACTTTTAAAAAATATTGAAATTGTCCAGTGAGCTGTTCCAAACAAAATGTATTTATCTATTTATTTTAGGGATGAACTATTTTTATTCAAATTGTGATTTTTATCCACAAACATTCATTTTTATTGCATTTTTCGTTGAACATATGTGTAGTTGGTTGTTGCATAACCTCCTTGTGTTAAATGCTGAGTGTTGCTCTGGTATTCGGGTTAAAGGGAGATTGTCATCCAGCTGAAAGCAACCCGGACGTGCATGTGCTGCTGATGTGTTTGCATCCGATGCGTCGTCAGTTCGTTATATGTTGACGCAGCGTTCTCATCAAGGTGTGTGTCATCGTTCGCACGAGCACACGCGCGCGTGGCTGGCGGACAGGCTGTGGGCTCGTCCACCATCTGTGCGCCCCTCCCTCTGTGACTCGCAGCATCCCCGGCAGCTCAGTGGACGCTGCTGCCTCACCATCCATCCCTGCTTCACGGCCAAACAGAGGCAGGCGTTATATCTGAATGCGTAATTTGCAGTGGGACGCTTTGATTCGTGAGCCGCTGCGTCCTTGTTAGTGAATGCGACCCCATTTGGAGTCATTTACTAATAACAAGCTGTTGCTTTCAGCTGAAATTCATTTTAAAACGCTTCTTTCTCGGTGGGATTTTTCCAAGTTTGTCCAAATGCGGCAGCGATGAGCTGCGAGCGAATCAGAGGGAGGCGGTTTGAGTTGTCAGAGTCACATCCAGGGTTCAAGCTCTCCTCACTTTGCTCCTCTGCCTGCTTTTTGGGGGATGCGACGTCATGAGCTGATCCCGCCTGACAGATGTGCTGCAGCTGCACAGGCACAGATAGTCCGATCCTGATTTTTTATTATTATTTAAATGATAATGCTGCAAAAAGGAAGGAGGGAGAAAATCTTCTTATGAGATAAATGTGAGGTTCTCTTGTTTTTCCACTGACGGATCGCAAACCTTCATTCATTTTTCGGCTCTGCGTAAGATGATACCTGGATCTGCCGCATCAATGCTACCATCTGCAGAAGCCGCGAAATTGTACCAGACCAATTACGTCCGCAACTCCCGTGTAATCGGACTCCTGTGGGCCATTTTCACGATCCTGTTCGGCATCGTTAACGTGACCATCTTCTCGCAGCCCTATTGGATCGGGGATGGCATGGACACCCCGCAGATCGGCTACTTCGGCCTGTTCCACTATTGCATCGGGGACGGACACTCCAGGGACCTGGACTGTCAGGGCAGCTTCACCGAGTTCGCCGCCATCCCCTCCACTGCGTTCAAGGCCGCCTCCTTCTTCATCGGAATGTCAATGATGTTGGTGGTCACCTGCATCGGCTGCTTCAGCCTCTTCTTCCTCCTCAGCACCTCCACCGTCTACAAGATCTGTGGCTGGATGCAAGCAGCATCAGGTAGGTTCAGAGACCCGACCATCAGGTATGAAATAAGAACAAAACATTCAGCTTTGCAAGTCGAATAGCCTTAAACCCTCTTTCTGTTTCTAATGTCTTTGAACCCTGGATGGTGAAATAGGTATTGCTTAGATCCAGTGGCGGTTCTAGACAAAAATGTACTGGGGGCCCGCGTGTTTCCATGGGGGCCAAGAAAAGCTTGAAATAAAAAACAGAGCAAAGGATTCAAATATATTAAGATAGCTGCATGAAGTGAAATTTCTGTTAAATTAGGTATAATTAAAATTCCATGTCTTATTAGGTCATCATACATTCATAATTCAGGAATTTTACACATTTTTTTTTTTACTTAATTTAAGTTAAAATTACAGTTTTCTATAAAATCTGAATTAGAACTCAAGAAAAACGGATACATTCAGCTGGAAAAATTAGAGTATTTTCTTTTTTTTTGTTTTTGTTTAAAAAAACAACATTTAGCAGATAAAAACTGGGATCCTATCTCAATTCCACTGAAGCTATCACCTTATTGTTTTTAGATAATTAAACAGAGTTTGTAAAGAAAAAAAAGAAGAAATTGATCCAAAGGACCTATCATTAACCGTGACTGTGACAGCGCATATCATCATTAGAATTTCTCGAGTATTATGTCTACAGTACAGGGGCCAGGACATGGTCTACAGGGGCACTGGCCCCCTTTGGACCCTGTCTAGAACCGCCCATACTTAGATCATAACTCATGAGCTGATTAGAACAGCTCATAAAAGGCTGACTAGAACCAATTTGCAATAAGCTGTGTTTAATTAAACACATAAAGCACTGAAGTAAACATTGCAATCAAATATTGCTGTCATTGCAACTGCCAGGGGCAGATTTAGGAAATTTGGGGCCCTAGGCAAAGACAGGAGGGGGGACACACTTAATATCATAAAGGACTGGTTATACTCCTGCAGCAGTGTGTCGCAGGTATGATGCAGACATTTTTGATTTATGCTCAATATTGAAACGTAGTCTGCGCTATGTTATTCCACGCCACAAAGCAAAAGGGAAAAATCGCAAACTAACTGTGGGTCTAGATATTGCAGATACGGGCAAAAAAGAGCGGGGATCCAGGTGGAAAAGGGGTCCCACCGTTCTCGTGCACCTCACTCTTCCAGCTGATCCAACTTCAGGAGTCGTTTTTTCACAATCATGGTCATACAAACAAAACAAGCCAGTAAGGAGATGCATAGTGTAGAGCGGATGTAGAATTGACCATTTAGAGGCCTCCTGTCTGCAGCACTGTCAGCGGTCACCTACAATTTTGGAGAGGTGCACCAGAGTGTCTGCGCAGGGGGCTGGGACGTCTCTGCATACACTGCGACACCTTTCGAAGTATAAATCAGCCTTAAGCTTTCGAATCAGTGGTGGCTGGTGGAGCTTTCTCCAAGGGGTGCTATAAATTCAAAATAGATGTATACATAAAAACCAATCAAACGTTTACTAAGTTATCACAAAAGTATAGGGAACAAAAGAACATTATTTCATGTACAGGTTTACTTTTTGTACATAAATCTTACATTTTTTAATATATAAAACGTTTTATATTCTGAGAATGTGTTTATTTAAGGGCAGCTATGCAAATTAACAAACCTCTAGAAAAAGTACACTATATTTTATTTTTTTCCATGTCAATTCTTTTTCATTCTTCTTTGCCTTTTCTAAAAAGTGATTTAAATCAGTCCTAGCTGTCTTTATCCATGCTGGCTCAGATCTTCAGGTTTGAAAAAGGAGGCAGGGAAAGCAGGATAAAGTGTTAGCCTCGCTGTATGCATTTAGCAAAGCTTTCTTGCTAAACCAGGTCCTGGAAAAGGACCGTTCTTGGGCCTCTTTCTCTCTCTAATGCGTCTCCAACTCAAGCGACTCGACCAGTCAGTCACCCGGAAAACGTCTGCACTGTCATGTGTATTCTCATTATCAGTTCATATGAAATCGTACGAAAAGTTTATGCACAGTATTTCGTACGTTTTTGACGTTTTTTACATCGTATTTCGTCGTATTTTTACGTCTTGCCTCGAGACAAGATATCTGTGCGTATGTGCATCTTACGCACAATTCAATAACATAGAATTTAACATACAATTAACCCTAACCCTAAGATACAAAACTGCAAGCAACCTAGTGAGAGACATCATGAAGTAATTATTGCACTGTCCGTCCCAGTTATACGTCCATCCGCGGCTCTGCTTTTTTCGTCTGTCTGGCTGCGCATGAGCACTGTTATGTTTATTCGAGGAAAATGTCAAAAACGTACGAAATACTATGCATAACTTTTCGTACGATTTCATACGAACTGATAATGAGAATATGTTGGCACTGTGGCGGGATGTGGTGAGCAAATAAACTTCCTGTCAGCTCAGAGCGAGCTGCGCCCCAAGCTCTCCTATAGCTTGGTATTACAGAGGAGCTACTGCGCATGTACAGCTTTCAACGAGAGTCGATGGACAAAGATTTTTGTGCTGCATGGCGGAAATACGTCATATATCCGACGAAAAATTGAATACGCTTTACAAGTCAAAAAATATTAAATATGTATCTTGCACATCTTACATATTAACAGAGATGGGAAGTAACAAAGTACAAATACTTTGTTACTGTACTCAAGTAGATTTTTCTGATATTTTTACTTTACTTTACTACTTATTTTTATGGCGACTTTTTACTTCTACTCCTTACATTTTTACACAAATATCTGTACTTTCTACTCCTTACATTTTAAAAAATTGGCTCGTTACTTTAGTTTTGAATCATTTCAATGGAGTTACCGTTATTATTTTTCACGTCATCAATACCAAATTCAATCTAATTGAATGGGAATCTACGTTGCATTTGACGCACCACTACAAGATGAATCGACAGATTCGGCGGTATTCATTCGCGGCATATCATTGCAGCTTGGTGGCGGTGGCGTTAGCATAGTAGCATGGACGACGAGATGATTGAAAATGAACACAACGGAGATCTAGTCCTATTGGCAGACATCCATTTAAAATGTAGGCAACGGCATGAAAAAAGTGGTTTCTACTTTTACTTTTATACTTTAAGTAAATTTACAAGCCTGTACTTTGTTACTTTTACTTGAGTAAAGAAGTTTAATCAGTACTTCCACTTTTACCAGAGTATTTTTTAACACAAGTATCTGTACTTTTACTCAAGTACGGAAAGTGAGTACTTTTGCCATCTCTGCATATTAATATATTTCAAAATATTTTAAATGTTAATTTAAAATTAAATTACAAAAAAAATTCAGTTTTTTATGTCTTAATCAGGGTCATTGGGTGGGTGGGGCGGCGCCCTAGCGCCCTCTATCGACCTGGTTCTGATGGCATTTTAGGGAAAGGATTTTTATGAAAAACATGATTAACGTGCACAAATAAGGAATAGTTGTATTAACCATACATGTAAACAGAGTTTTATGGGGCCCCCAGGAACTTGGGGCCCTAGGCATCTGCCTAATATTGCCTAATGTTTTTGCAACTGCAGTAATAGAAAAAAAATATACATTAAAAGGATTTAAATGTCACGTTTAAAATACAGTTAAAGAAGTTGATAGGCAATAGAACATACACTGGCTAAATTTTGGTCTACTGCTAAATTATTATTATTATTTTTTTAATGTTCAGGGAATTAATCAAGAAATATATATATATTTTTTCATATTGAAATTTACTTAATTTCTTAAAAAACTTAATAGATGATGTAGATTGTTTTTGGTTTTTGTTTTTTTTGCTTGCTAATAGTCGAGCATGTGCTTTGAAAGATAAAATGAATCTTTGTTGCATAAAAATATAACCATTAACCAAATTATTTCTCCCATGGTTCTTGGTCGCCATTGTTATCAGGAAGCAAAGCCTAATCATGCTAATCTTAAATAACCTACTTTTAAGTATTTGGTTTTTTCATGTCACTGCATTAGGGATACAGTAGGTACTATTGTCACCTTGAAGCATGAAGGTTCAGGATGTAAATTCTGGTTAAGATCCTTCATTGTGCTGTTAGCATGTTTCCTCTGTGCATCCATGAAGCGTTTTTCTTCTGTTAAAAGGCTATTGAGTGCTGGACAAAGATGCCAGCAACTCTGTTATGACTGCATATAGAAAATATGTTGGTAGATTGTAAATTTGATCTATCTTAGCTTTCCTATTTATCTTTTCCAACAGTAAATCTTTACACTCGAGTGAAGTTTTTCAATAACTCTGATTCAAGTTTACTATACAAAATATAGTATTTCTAAAGCTCTGAATGAGGCCTACAGGGAGGATTTTTTTCCTCCATAGATTTGCTTGGTGAAGCCAATAAAGAAATATTTTAATTTGGTGAAGATTCTCATCCAGATCATAGTCATTGAAAAAAGAGAAAATAAAAAAACAATCCAATGGACTTTGTTTCCAAGTTTAAAGACGTTTCACTCCCCATCCAGGAAGCTTTTTCAATTCAAAATGTCTGGAATAGTGTTGAGTTTTAAGTTTTATACAGTAGCCCATCAAAACCTTGTTTTTTTGTTGTTTTTTTTAAACATGCAAATAGATACGGATGAAGGGGTCGTCCCATTCCATTTCTATTTGCATGTTTTCAAAACAAAACAAGGTTTCGATGGGCTACTGTATAAAACCTCGAGCTCAACGCTATTTCTGACATTTTGAATTGAAAAAGCTTCCTGGATGGGAAGCGAAACCTGGAAACAAACTCCAGTGGATCGTTTTTAATTTTCTTTTTTTGGAATATTTTAAGTCGAAGAGATGGAAATGAAAATTGCATGAATACAATAAATTTAATGCAAAAATAGCAACCCTGACCCTTTAAAAACTATTCAAGTGCTGTCCGTGGTTCTGAAATATTTGAATATACATTTTATCCAATTCAATTCCATTTAAACTCAAAAACACTTTATTAATCGCAAAGGGAAATTAAATGTTGCAGTAACTCTAACCTTTTATTTTTAAACAAGTCGAAGAGATGGAAAT